CGGGAGCGCGTGCAGGGGCGGGGCCAGCGGTGACGGGCGGCTGCACCGCGGGGACGACCGGGGCGGGGACAGCGACGGGGAGCGACCTGCGAGAAAAGAGCGCGGTTTGTAATGGCAATAGAAACAGAGTATAGGTAATAAATTTGGAAAAATATGATCATGTCATGTATCACACACACACACACACACACACACACACACACACACACGCACACAATCGTGTCGGGTGTCTCACCTAGCGGGCTGCACCTGAGCGGGCAGCGCTTGGGCGGCGGGCTGGTTGTGTCGCACCAGCTTGAAGGTCTCCACGCCGTCGCCGAACACCTCGGTGCGCGAGTCGCTGGCAGGGGCGGGGGCGGCGCGCTGGAGGGGCGGGAGGGGCTGGAGGGCCTGCAGCGGCTGGATGGGCTGGATGGGCTGGATGGGCTGGAACGGCTGGAAGCCGGTCTGGACGGCGGGCTGCGCCCCGCGAAGCGCCGGCAGCGGCTGGAACGGCTGGAACGACGGGTGGAAACCGCCCTGGAACGGCTGCTGCGCAAGGGCCGCGCCCGCCAGCAACGCCTACGGAGGGAGAGAGGGGAGAAAAGGTGTAAGTTGGGCTGAGTTTGTTCAATTTGTTTTCACTTATCAAGCAGTTGTCAAAGCAACACCTCGCGCTCTGGAATTTACACATGCTGTTACCCAGACGCGGCTCAAAATGCAACAGGTGGTGTTGATCTCCCGCCCCCCCCCCCCTTTCCGCGCCGCGGTGTCTGGCAGAAACGGGTTCGTTTAAAAAAAATGTTTCTTTGAAAAAGCGTTAAAATTTTTCTCTTGTTTCAAAGGAACTTCCATCGTTTAACCACAAAAATTCCTCAAGTTTTAGATTGTTCTTTAGATGCAGAACGCAAAAAAAATAAATAATCGTTATGGTTATTTAAGGAAAATTTCCTTGTTTCGAGGCTAGTTTTCAGGCATTTATTCCCAGTTGCAAGAAAAGACTTTCATGGTGCAGCAGCAGTGTCATCGTTAAACGAAAGTTAACTCCAATATTTGTAATGTTTTTTCCCCGACAGAATTCCTGTTCCGCAGCCGGGTGCCGCGCGACCCGGGCCCGCGCGCGGCCGGGGGCGCTGTGCCGCAACCGAACACGCCACCCGCGCGCCGCCCCCAAGGCCGTGACCCTGACCCAGCAAGGCCAACTTCATAGTTCGCTTACAGAAAACGGCACCCGGAAAAGCCCACTCTACCCCTAGGGTTCATAGTTGTTTGAATGCAATCTTCCCGCATTCGGCGGGTACATTTTTGCGATGTGGAAAGTTGTATGAACTTGTTCCACGAGTGGTCTTTTTCCGAGTGTGATAGGTGAGGAGTTTGAAATTCCCTAGGTAGACGCGGTTTCTGGAAATTTGACATCAAACCGCGTTGGACACTTTACTTTTTTCTTTTGTTGTTCAGATAGTATTCCAGGCGTTTAAGATCTAAACTTTTACGTTTTCAAAAATCAATTTAATAAATTTATATGATTAATATCCAGTTACACAATGAATGATTCGAAAGTGCTTGGTGGCAAATCGCTATAGCTGAGAACACGTTTCCATACGTTGAACATTTTACATACAGTGCAAGTGATGTGTAAATAGAATTGGCACAATATTTGTTCTGCCAGTCTTTTACAAACACAAAAAGATGAGAAGATGGAGAAAACTAAAAGGTAAGCCTATCCTCCTTCCGTCTCCCGGGAAACAATGACTCACCTGAAGTAGAACCAACTTGCCACACGTCATGGCTGCTGCTCTGCTGCCTCACAACTAGTGCCGCACCCTGGAGGCCCGCAGTTAAATACGCCCTCCCCTACGGGGTCCGGAGCGGTACGGAGCCCCCCGGGCGGGCTGTCGTGAGGGCTGCCCCGCCCCGCCCCCGGCGGGCTGACACATGCGGGGGTGGGTGCGGGGGTGGGGC